AAGATATGTACCACCTGGAACCCATTGTTCTGGGTGCAAATAAATTTCTCGATAAAGAGAAGAATGATAAAATACTCAAGCATCATGTACACTGCCTATATAAAAAAATTAGCTTGTACTGTATTGTAAAAAAAACTAAATAGTAATAGTTATTACTAACCTGCTTCTCCTACATGTATAAAAATAAAACATCCTTGGTGATCAACAATGCCAAGCAAATTAATAAAATAAAAATTTTTGTGATTTATAAACCGAATTCCATTTTTAGAAGGTCGATGAATTGGTATATGTGTTCCATCTATAGCCCCAATGACATTAGGTAGTTTACGATTTTCAAATCCTGATTTACCATATTCGAATCCATGTGTTACTTCTGCTAACCGTGCACCTTGTGGCCACTTTATACGTTCCTTTTCCAAATCCAGCAGTGCTTCTAAAAACCGATCTGTAAAATGAATTACTGATCCCTGACTTATACCAAGAGTTTGTTTCAATACCTGAATTCCTGAGCTATTAGCTAATCGCCATAATACAATAGCAATTTGTTTCCAAACTGGTGTTGCATTGGGAGCATCAGATGAAAAAGCTGGGTGTGTACTCAAACGTGCAACAAGAGAATTGAATGTTGCTAGAGTAATGCGAAAATGCTTTCGAAAAGAATTATAACCCCCTTCATCATTTAAATATGGAAATACATCAGTCCAGAAGCCTCTAGTTTTAGGCCTTTGCTGACGTTGAGCTATTACATCTTGTGAAGGAAGAATAAATGGAATTGTTGTATTTAACGTTGTAGAAATAAAGGCCAGAAGATGATACGTATCAGCCATTCTTGAAATTTCAGCTTCCTGCTTTTTTTTATTCGAAGCGAAGGTTTCTAGAATGAGCAATAAGGTAATGATCTGTCTATGCTGGTTACGATTTTGAAGATCCATAGAGTAAAATGTTTGAACAGTTATTTTTTAGAATCGATCAATGAAAAATTTTGGCCAATTAGCGTAGCTCTGTGAAAAAAAAAGGACGTTTGGGCCTCTATTCCTTTTAATTGGAATGATAAATAATTTTGATCGACTAAATGATCTTCCGCTAATTAATTTTTCTCTACGATAGATTAAAATACGTAATCTTGCATCATTCATTGGAATAATAAATACAATAGATTTGGAAACCCAATTTTTTATTAATTAAAATTTGCCCCTGACCTATTCCGATCGATTGACTAAGGCACTTAAGAACACCCTTGGTGTACTTGGATTACAGCTACAAGAGGTCAACTGATCAACAGAAAACAGTTTCTATAATACAGATTAGTTTCCAAATTTTATTATAAGTGGAATTTGAATCTTAGACCTGCCACTTGAAGAATAATAATCCAACTACTATACTAGGATCACTATCCTCTTATTTTTTATTTATTTATTAAGACTGATATTTATAGTAAATATTATTTTTATTATATTTTTAATTATATATTACAAATAACTTATATAATAATAAGTATACAATTCATTACATATATAACTTTTAATTACTTATTTTAAGTAATCTGCTTAAAAATTTTATACTAGTTGTTATATCTTTTTTTTTATTTTTTGATAGTTTTGTTAGAGCTCAAATACAAAAATTTTACTAATTAAAACATTATCTATTTTTAGTAATTCATCTTTTGTAATTGCAAACCTAGTATTATTCAAGTACAGAAACTGCATTCAAATATAACTTGTCACACTAATCTATGTCTAAATTAAAAAACTTTGTTAGCTCTGTTAAGAACCAAACTAGAACAGATTGATTTTATTTTGTATTACTTTATTAATACCTTCATTAAATAATTGCATATATTCTACTTCTTTCTTCTTTCTTTTAACTACATTGATCTTATTCAATACACCTTTATTATTTTCTTTTTTACTTAGTTGTTATATCTGTAATTTACTAAAAAATTATTTATTTAAATTTTTTATTTCTTATACTTTATTAAACAAATAATAAATAGTTTCTATATAACTAAGTATTGTCTAATTTAACATTTAGCTTTCATGCTTGTATATCTGTTAAGCTATTATCTATTTAAGAATATGTTATTTAACTATAAGAATCTAAACATTCTTTTATTAACTAACCCATCTATTTTATAAACTATTAACAAAACTATATATTTACAAAGTTTATTTATTTATTTATTTATTTAATATTAAACTCTTTATCTTTGAAATATGACATTTTTATTCAAGTATATAGAACATAGCATGCCACCAAAGGCTATCTTATATTAAAGATTATAACTAGCCAAATATGCACTTTTAATGCCTAATTTAAGTAGTCTTTGCTTATATATTACTATATAAGTTCTATACTAGATGTCATACCTGCAAGCCAACTAGAAGTTTTGTCTGTTTAAATTCTTTGCATATGCAATCCTTTTTGTATCATAAAAACATTTTTAAGACTACATCCATTCAAGTTCTTGATGCTAATCAGTACTCTTAGAACTATTTATCCTTAACAGAAAACTTACTAGAATCTATATGCCCTACATATACTAATCTAGTTTTATGCAATATGCTATAGTTATTTAACACTTGCAATTACAAAAAGTTACCTGTTTAACTACTACATTATACTATTTCTACTCTTGTAAAGTTTACTAAAACCCTAGTATCTATTTTTCTTATATCTTCTTTATTATTTTTTACTAACTGCAACTCAGAACCAGCAGTTTTTTCTAAATTACTAATTCAGATGGCTTAGTATAATATAATTCTGTATTTTTTTCCTCTAGTGAGTTCAACAGCCTGATTGGTTATATCAGCAAATTTATAAGTATGAAATATTTCAAAAGATTTTATATAGCACAATAATTTCAAAATATTGCAAAATAAATTTTGAAATTTTTGCTAAATGTAAAATATTTCAAAATATTGCAAAATAAATTTTAAACTTTTTGCTATATACAAAATTTTTTGAAATATTTTATATCTAACCTTTTATAATCTACATTGCAGCAATATAGATGCTTTTTAATTTTATTTTTTTTTATTTTTTAATAATCTTCAAATTTTTTATTTTTTATTTTTTATTTTTTTTTTGATCTTCAAATTTTCTTTTTTATTTTTTTTTTAATTTTGGAATTTTTTATATTTTTTGATTTTTAAATTTTTTATTTATTATTATTTTTTTTTTTTATGTTTTCATTTTTTTTTTACTAATGCTTTTTGAACCTGAAACTGGTGCCAAGATAAGTACTAGTTAACTTTATTTTGGTTTTCTTTTTTTTTGATATTACTAATGTTTTCTTTTTTATAGTCTTTTGCTTTACCAGAAAGGGTTAATAAGACCAAAATCAGAATCTTGAACCTAGAACTAGTACAAAAATAAGTACTAATTTATTTTTTTTTGTTTTTTCATTTTTTTTTGTTTTTTACTAATACTAATTCTTGTTTTCTTTTTTTTAGATCTTGTGCTTTGCTAGAAAAGATTAATAAGGCCAGAATTGGAATCTTGAACCAGAAACTGGTACAAAAATAAGTACCAGTTTACTTTTTATTTATTTATTTATTTTTTTTTTATTTTTGTTTGTCTTTTACTAATACTAATTTTTGTTTTTTTTTTTAGATTTTGTGCTTTACAAAGAAGAGTTAATAGAGGTTGGGATCAGAATCTTGAACCTGGAACTAGTACAAAAATAAGTATCAGTTTACTTTTTTTTTGTTTTTTTTTTGTTTTTTACTAATATTAATTTTTGTTTTCTTTTTTTTTTAGATTTTGTGTTTTACCAGAAAGGATTAATAAGGCTAAGATCAGAATTTTGAATCTGAAACTGTTACAAAGATAAGTATTAGTTCACTTTTTTTTTGTATTTTTTGTTTTTTTTTGTCTTTTACTAATACTAATTTTTGTTTACTTTTTTTTAGATCTTATGCTTTATCAGAAAGGATTAATAAAGCTGGAATCAGGATTATGAATCTGAAACTGATACAAAGATAAGTACTAGTTCACTTTTTTTTTATTTTTTTTATTTTTTTTTGTCTTTTACTAATTCTTGTTTTTTTTCTTTAGGTTTTGTGCTTTGCCAAAAAAGGTTAATAAAGACCAAGATTAAAATCTTGAACCTAGAACTAATACAAAAATAAGTACTAATTTAAATTTTTTTTTTTGTCTTTTACTAATACTAATTCCTGTATTCTTTTTCTTTAGGTCTTGTGCTTTATCAGAAAAGGTTAATAGAGGCCAGAATCAGATCTTGAACTTGGAACTAATACAAAGATAAGTACTAGTTTACTTTTTTTTTGTTTTTTTTTGTTTTTTTGTCTTTTCCTAATTTTTGCTTTCTTTTTCTTTAGGTTTTGTGCTTCACTGATAAGGGTTAATGAGGGCTGAACCAGGATCTTGAACCTGAAACTAATACAAAAATAAGTACTAGTTTACTTTTTTTTTGTTTTTTTAGTTTTTTTGTCTTGTTACTAATTCTTGCTTTCTTTTTCTTTAGGTCTTGTGCTTTATCAAAAAGGGTTAATAGAAGCCAAGATTAGAATCTTGAACCTAGAACTGGTACAAAAATAAGTACCAGTTCATTTTTTTTTGTTTTTTTATATTTTTTTGTATTGTTACTAATTCTTGCTTTCTTTTTTTTTAGATTTTATGCTTTGCCAAGAAGAATTAATAGAAACTAGGATCAGAATCTTGAACTTAAAACTGGTATAAAATAAGTACCAGTTTACTTTTTTTTATTTTTTTTATTTTTTTTATGTTGTTAGTAGATTTTGTACTTTGCCAGAAAGGTTTAATAGGGATTGAGATATATAGTATAGTTTTTTTTATTATATAATTATTATGTAATTATTATTTAATAAAAATTGAATAAAAAATTATAT